GAAAAATTCCTTACTACACCAAAAGTTATTTCGGAAAAACGCCAACGGCGACTTTCTTTTTAGCTTGTCAATGATAGTTACAAGTCTTAACCAAACACTATTTCTAAGTGCTTACCTCTTTGATTAGCTATACCGATAGACTTGATCTCATCAGCCGAAATGCCAAGATTTTCGAGTTTCTCAACACCTTTAGCGATGCATTCTTTGACAGTATCGATAATCTCAGATGGATCCATTTCCACCCATCCCGGATTGGGAAACAGCTGCCGCACCTCGATCTGAATCAGCAAATATTTTACTCTGAAAGCATGATGAAGAAAACCTCACTATTTATATATCTTCATAGTATTCTGAGTAAGAGAGGAGGATGGATGCGTCAGCCCGAACTGCCCAACAGAGGGCATCCTTGTCAAACCCAACAGTTTTTTAAAGACTTTGGCCAGATGATAAGCGACTGGTGTGACGGTATGAAAAGCAAACTGTTCATTGTCAGGTTCCTAAAAACTCTCAGGGGCTACAAGTAGTCTAGATTCCCCTCTTTGGTGAGCCAATATGTGCTTAAAGAGAACTGTAACATTGCAAAGATTCACCAGTCTAGACTCTCTTTTGTCACCAGACCTAAGGACTTTCATAATATCCCTAATTGTGAAAGGAACCAGGATCGCCGAGAGTTCTGATTCAAAGCTGCAGGAGATGTAGAAGGACTGAACGGACAGCGGTCTGATATATCTCCTACTATTATATAATTCGCTCGGCGGGTCTGTTGGTTTGTCAGCCTGTTTGTTTGTGTGTGTGTGTGTCGGTGTGTGTGTTTGACCGGAAACTCATAACTCCTGTTCCTGTGGATCTGAGGCCTTTAAATTTGGTAGGGGTACAGGCAGCAGGATCAGACTCAGCCCACTGGGGGCGGAGCGTGCGCCATAGAAGTCTGCGCAAATCAATAACTCCTGTTCCAGTAGACCTGTTCTAGAGCGTTGAAACCAAGTAGGAGTACAGGCGGTAGGATGGGAACACTCATGTTACGGTAGGTAGCAGGAGCAGACTCCTCTCACAGGGAGCGGGGCTGCGCGACATAAATGGTTGAGCGAAAAATCATAAGTCGCGTTCCCGTGGACGTAATGAGTTCAAATTTTGTAGGATTACAGCATTTCGTATTAACAGTGGAAACTCGGCATTTCGCTAAATTATGAAGGATATGACGGGATCGTAGGTGGTCGGTGACAGGAATCGCTGACAACTGATAAGAGAAGATAAGCGGTCTACGAGAGCAAGAGCGACCTACCGATCAAAATTCTAATCCTTCGATTCACGATATAGCTTTGGCTGTGCAGTATGTTTCATTCGATAAGACGAGTGATAGGGACCCGTTAGCGGCACTACGCTAAGATGAGAATTTGTTCATTTCCTACTACATTATGACCGCTACCAAGCAAGGTTAGCGACTCAATGAAGGATCCTCTTTGTTCGATATCATTTGCGACAAAACTTAGCCTACCGCCATTAATGTGGAATACTCAACCAATGATATCCCGTAAAGAAAATGGTTTATCGATAAACACATCTGATAATGGTGCTATCATTACTTGAAACTTTGTGAGTACCGACCAAAGCTTTGGTTACCCAAAAGTTGAATTTTTAATGGGTCTTTATTTTCAAAAACGAAAGCAAAAGATCGTGCGGAAAAGAAGTTGAACTACTTCTTTGATTTTATTGTAGATGACCGCTCAACGGTCGTATGCTAACTCTCATGGGCTTGGCTAGTGATAAACTATACTGTCTGTACAATCACACTGTTAGTCACTGTGATGTGCGATACTCGACTATAAAACCCTCATTCTACGGTATGCATATCAATAGTCGTCTTGTGCTCGATAAAGCACTTCGTCTCGGAGTTGTAACATTGGCGATCAGTTTGCCGAAGAATCACAGCATGCCAAGCGACCCTCAAGCTACATCAAAGGATGTACCATCGTGGGTTACTCAGTTTCTTGCTGTTTTTCAAGAGCAAAACCGAGCACTTCAACGGCAGATGCATCAACTGCTAACTGTGCTTGTGGATCAGAAACTAGGACCGGAGCAATCATCCTTGAAACGATAGTCTCCTGATGAGTACGACGACCTTATGCGGGACCTGCCGTATTTCAACTTCGATGAGGACGACGATTCCATGTTTGATGAATGGTACAAACGCCATAGACCAGTAATCGATGATCGAGGGTCTTCACTTCCCGATGACCGTCAGCGAAACCTTATGATTGATAAGCTGGATAGGCAACATACAAGACGTATTCGGTACACATCTTTCCGTTGAAGCCGCGAGACATCGATTTATCCACTACTGTCGAGACTCTAACGAAACTATTTGTCGACGATTCGAATTCCTGCAATCTTCCTGCCCTCCACTGTCCGAATCACACATACCATACCGTGATTTTGGCAATACAATTAAGAATAAGTTCGAGGAGGCCTGGCATGAAGGATGTCGACAGGGAATCACTCAAATGACTCGTCTTCGTTTCTGGCCTCACAGTCGCGTCACATTCAGAAATGCGACTTCGTCTTCTGAACAAGATGAACCGCCTCAAGGAAAGTGACCCTCTCCCAGTTCTCGACGACTTCATTAATGAATGCGAAACGCTCGTCACATTGCGCTCGGATAATCGAACAATGGAGACGAAAGCGATAAATGCGGCTCATCAGCGAAAACTGATGAAGAAACAGCGCTATCCAAAGCGTTCAAGTTTCGAAAATCGTTCCTTCCGTGAAGATTAAGAGGCTACTTCGGATAAACAAAATGGCAAAAGCTTGTCATCTCAGAGGATGAGAACGAAATCCCCAAAGCAGAAACTCCGATGTAAAAATGTGGGCATTACAACTCATGATGCGCGTACCTACATGAAGGTGCTCATAAATGGAGCACCTACTTGTCTATACCTCAACGCTGGAGTAGACATCACGATGATTTCTTACCTAAGCATATCCATGGATGTTTTGATACTGAGTTCACAATTTTCGATCGCAACCACCAGCCTATCTCGGACGAGAAAAATGTTATGTTACAGAAACGACCGAATCAGCCCACGAAACCGCGACGCTTTCGCCGACCACCGAGCCGACTTCAAGTCAAGACAAGCTTCAAGTCGTACACGCAGAAAAATGGACATTTGTGATCAGATGAATGTTGTTGCTACCTTTCTGTTTTTCACTCCTAACATTTCATCTTAGGGGGGAGGTGTTGTGGATGACCGCTCAACGGTCGTATGCTAACTCTCATGAGCTTGGTTACTGATAAACTATACTGTCTATACAATCACACCGTTGTATGCATATCAATTGTCGTCTTGTGCTCAATAAAGCACTTCGTATCGGAGCTGTAACAGATTTGTTCCCTCTTATAATTTTTAATACGTTGTCATAATATTATCGTTCGTAATAATTTCCAATTAAAAGCGTAAACACAGACTTGCGCTGAATACAATATGCACTGCCCTGTTAGTCCTGTGTCAAACTCCAAGTACATAAAAATATTACCTGTTCCGAAATTTAGCCGATTACTACTACTTTGTCGAAGAAGGAGGGAAGGGAACCGATCTAATATATGTATATATATATATATANTATATATATATATATACATTCTTCACTTTCTTTGCTTTCTTTCGCTTTGGAAAGGACGATGCTCAGAATTTCCCTATACACGCAAGTGCAGAAGGGAATGCGGAGTTCCGAGCTCCGTCACCGAACGAAGATCAGGGATGCCGTTGATTACGCCAAGAAATCGAAGATCAGGTGGGCCGGACACGTCATGCGATATAGTGATGACCGTTGGACCAGGGCGGTTACTGACTGGATCCCTCGGGACATCAAACGAACTCCAGGAAGGCCGCCAATGAGATGGTCAGACCTCTTCACGAAAGCTCTGAACGAAAGGAATGTTGAACCTCGTGTCCCTGAAGCGAGAACGATTCCTGGACCACTCTGGCTCGTGACAGGGACGAATGGAGACGTTACTGGCGCCCGCTCGAGGAAGTCGATGATCAACGGGACGACAGGTGATACAGGTGATTCTTCACTTTCTAGAACTCTTCCCCTTTCCTGCGCACTGCGGGCTGCTATTAATACCCATCTAGATACATGGAAACTAAATTTGAAAGGATTTGACAGTCGAAGTCTTCTGTGATGCCTAACCTTGTCTCTATGAGTTTTCTGGATGGCTCTCTTCATAACAAAACATTCATAGGAACTTTCTTTACTATTTCGTTAGCTATTTATAAGCTCTATTCAGGAAATTCCTCTTGGTCGGCTAAAAAAGTACAACTCTATCAGCCTTACTGTACTCGTTTCCTAGTGTTCACGAAAATTAATCAATTCAGTAGCCAGAAGTACCATTGTGAACTGATAACGTAAATCAATCACCGCTACCAAAAAAATCTACATTTAGACCGCAAATTTGCAAAATGCCGTGACCAGTATCATAACAACAAATATGTTTTCCAGCCTTCACAGTTGTCAGAGACGCAGCTTTGTTTTCCGACGTTAATGATCTCATGGTATAACGCGGTGTACTTATTATTTTTCCTGTTCCGCATCCCTGAACTATGGAAATAGCTTCACGAGAAACAATGTGGAAAGAGAAACGTTATACATCAAATGTCAATTAAAACTCGCGACCGTACCCACACCCCATCTCTCGTAGAAGTCGGAGTTAGAATTTTTCTTCCAATGTTTCTGTATTGGTGAATGAAATTTACCTGATGGCTTGTCACTAGATCTCCGGTGTCGCCTTCGAATACGAGGAAGCGACTGCTGGAAGTTCCTTGATCGATGGCCGCAAGCAAAACCATTCTCCGGGATTAGGTGAAAATTACCTACAGTAAAGTACAGAAGTCATTCACATTTTCGAGCAGCTGTTTGATCGATTCGAGCTAGATTCATCTAGGTTATATCAACAAATAGAATGCGAAGATGATAAGCTTGAAAGCACTCAGGTAAGGGATGGATGGATGCCATGTTTGTGAGCCAGTTACAATCATGAAAAAAACGTCAACATCGTGGGTGGCGACATGATAAAAGAAGAAATAAATCGGAAAAATGATCACAAAGAGGTGGACAGAAAAAGTTTTTCGTTGCTGAGAAGAGGGAATCATGCAGCCAAAGAAAAGGTTCGCACGAACATCGCAGTTGTTACAGCTGCAAAAAAGTGATAGTAGCGATAAGAAAAGGCAAGCTACGAGCCGTCGCCACCACGCTTAACTCTAATCGTCGATTGTATGCAAAGGAAAGTGTAAAGCGGCGATGTATACTCGGCAGCGTTCATTGATGTCAATCGAAGCAGAAGGACAACGAACCACAGGCCACAAAAAGGCATCTGTTTTCCATTTGGTTCATGAAAGCTCTTAGGTTTGGAACCTCTAGGCGGGTTCTCATCACCTATGAGGAGAAAGTCGATTTAATTGTGAGAGCCAAAGGGTTCTAGCAAAAATCTGGCAATAAATAGCGGCAAGAAAAGCAAAAAATCTACTGGAAATAGAGCTGAATGCAGCCCAATAGACACATTGCTCGAACTAACGAAGTGCAGACCAGACCAGGGGTCATCAACTTACTAATGTTTGTCCTGCGAAGTGCGTAGATAGATAGACGACCTTCAGCTACTTCTGTGTCATAAATCATCGTACAACGATTTCATCGCAGTAAATGAAAGTATACGATCGATTAAATAGCCGTAACATTGGAAGAGGCATTGTGACGGGGATTCTATGTATTAGATAATGAATGGAACATGTCCTGCTTTTCTGGATAGTCAGCTGGAAGTGTCATCTTCACAAATGCTCCAATCGTAAATATGAGTAAGAGAAACTGGAGAAAAAATCAAACCATGGACGTTCTTCTTGAACCTGTTGTACGATACTAATCACTTCCTTCTTTCCGAAAAATGGACACCCTGTCTGTTCCAGTCAGTAACCAATAACTATTATAAATAGTTGCAGACTGGTTGTAGAGCACTCGAAAGGGTGCGAACTATCAGGCGCCAGAAGATTCATGAATTCATCCCAAATCTTTGAAAAATTGAAGATTCGGATGAGAGTTCGCTAGCTGACAAAGAAGATCGGATCAATTGTATTTTGTAGAGCAATTATATAAACATAGAAGTGATAAAAATGATTTCAAGTTAGCAGGATCACAACTTCTAACTCTACCCTTCCAATATGCAGGTTTTCATGAGACCCGTAATAATGACTTACTGAAAAAGTTCCTACAGCAGTTAACAGTGCGGTTGTCAGGAAAAGTAGAAGCCAACTATGTCAAGGCAGACAATTCGGATATAGCAGAAAATCATAAACAATCAGACATCAGCAGGGAACTGAAAGAGGAGACATAACAGTTGGCTTGATGAAAGGTTGAAGGAATGTGAGTAACACCACTTTGTCACCTCTTTATATACGGTCACTGAGGGGCACTTGACTTCCTGCACACATGTCTACAACATGAGTGCAGAGAACAAAGTACACATAAGAATGGCGATTTGTGGGCAAAACTCCAGTCTCGGACGGGACTTGAACCCGTACTTGTCCTTTCCGGGGACCGTGCTCTTATCCCTTACACTACCGAGACCCTGATTGCCCTTGCCTTCTTAATGGCTTATATGCCATAGCTTATCTTTGACATCTTTGACAAAAGTACACATAATTTTTGAAACACGGCAGGTGAACACCAGTTGCCATGACCGTTGTCGAAATGGTTCGCGACCAGTGAATCTTATAGCTGCCGTCACCATACAACAGAGAGAGAAACAGTCAGGTGAGTAGTCCTAATGACCAAACTATGATATCGTCGATCACGCGGACAGCATCGATCTCATGCAGCCGCCTGTCACTACGGCTGTTCCTCTCTCAACCAATTGGCAAAAGGAATGTTTAGGAGGAATAAAAATACGGGAAAGATATATTATCACTGTGAAAGTGGTAAAGGGAGATGCATTGCAAACAACGACAGTCTGCAATATTGTTTTTCGGTCACGGTAGTTGTTGGCATTCACGTGCTTTAAGGAGTCGCCAAGTAATTACTCAGGTAGACAGATAGGCGACCGTGCATGTCGATCACTTGCCACCAGTTGTTCAGCAATAAAATGTATCAAGTTCAAAGAAGGGGGATCTGTTATATTTTGGAAGAAATGTGCCTATGAAAAATACGATTCGATCGTTGTACACTGCGGTTTATGCACTAGAAAGAAAGAACACAGTGACGTCAGACCGTACGTGGTAGAACACCAACAGATTACGGTATAATAAGTGGCGTATACCTACTCGGGCACAATTTCAATGCTAGAAATTTATGAATGCTCTCTCAACTTCCCTCCTTTCTCAGGTTGCTTCCTATCTTTCTATGCTCGGAAGAATACGAATGCCTAAGACGTCATTCGAGTAAAGTGTTGTTGAAGTCTCGGTTGTCCACCTCAGGAAGTAAAGATAACAACTTTCAGCAGAGTGACGATAAGATGGTGAGCTTGCCGGGTTGAATTGATTCTAGGGGGAATCTGTCTGGGCACGTGCTATAGAAAGTGGCTCACCAAAATATCGCCTCTGCGGACGTTTTTGATGCAGTGTGAAGCGAGCAGTCCACCCTCCAAAATGATCCCTACTAGAGATATCACCGCTCATCACAATATTTGCCTTGAAAAAAATCCGATTCGAAGATCAGATAACTCTCCGGAATGAGATGCCGTTTGACGGGAATTGTGAAACGACATCACCACAAAACAAACATCTGTTTCTCTCGGTAACACCACCATTTCGAGTTATCACTTAGGTAAAGCAATCCTACGTTTAACTGTTGGAATGCAATTAGCATCCCTATTGGATCATATATCCTTCGACGCCAGTCAATCCGCCCTTGGGATGCGTAACCACATTTGTTCCATTCAGAATCGTAAGTTGTACAATGGATTGCAGTCACCAGTGAATAAGAAGTCTTTTGTTTCATCCTCCCGAACGAGTCTGGTGCTAACTATACGTTTCTGGAGAGACGGAAGGCCTACCTAGCCAGCGCGAATTTCGTTCAAGATTCGTCGCGAAAAGTGGTATAACACCCATTTAGGAAGATTTTCATCACTGAGAAAAGTGATAGATTTGAATGTTCTCATTCAAATATTGTATTCAACAAAAAAAAGAGCAGAATACTCGGCTACTTTGCCACTAGCTGTTTTCATATAAGTCATACTCTTCAAAAATAGGGAAATAATCGTGGAACAAGGACACTCCACTTATTGTTGACGACAGCTGGCACCATTGCGATCAATCATCTTTTCATAGTTGGTGGCAAAGAATGGCTGCGGTGCTTTCTGTATCATATCATTCTCATGCACTTTGACCAGCCTCGTATGTGACAACAAAAAGTCAGCAAAGCAGGAATTATTCATTTATTTGGTGCACGCTTAGGTGCCCTGATTACAATTCCACGATCACATTAACGCAAAAACCTGCAGTCAATCAAAAAAAAGTATGGTTCGAATTAAAAGGTAGAGAGATCTCCAGTCACGTGCATTAAAAAGAAGAACGAACCGATGTGGGTAGTACAGGAGTGCTAAGAGCTGTAAGCTGTATGATAATTGAAGAGCATCCGTGTTTGATTTCATTAAGCGGATGGCGCTAGGGATAACGCCACTCCTAGACAAACACTAGCATACCTATAGAATCGAAGAAAGAATTTTCGGATGTAAGGTATTCCCTACCTCTAACAATTCAGCCTCCGATTCGCCATTACGATTAACACAGCCTTAGAAGAATCTTCCGGAAGTGAAATGAGAAAAGATAGAGAAATAAGAATGTCCAGTTTCAGTGCAGGGGACTCATGACTAATTCTAATAATCCTCCTCATTGGAGACTTACCACCTGATTAAAGGAATCATGTACATCTACAATAGATTCCAACAAAACAAAACAAACAGTCATAGAAAAAAA